TTTTTTTTGAATAAATTTATAAGGGATCAGATTTAAATTATTGTATAAAAGAAAGGAATGCACTTTAAATATGATCTGAAGTTACTAGGTCGAACGACCAAATGCAATTTTAAATTGATTTTAATTTTAAGTGTACATGAAAATATAACTCAATTTAAAGTAAGTTAAGGACTCAAAAATGTATGGTAAGAAAAAAAATTACACTAATATTAATAATTAAAAATATAATAAAAAAATTAAAAAAATAAAAAATAATATTTTTTAACTTTAGTTTTTTTAAGTAACTGATTTGATTAATGAGTTAAGTAATTTAAGTGATTATCTTTTTTTTTTGTTAAAAATAAAAGATTTTAAATTTTAATAATATGAAATATAAATAAAGTAAAATAAAGAACAAGAGGTGATTTTTTTATTATTGTGTAATAAAAATAATAATAATAATAATAATTGACTTGATAATCTACTTTCATTAAAAATAAAATATTTTGGGTTTTAGCCATATCGCTCGCATGGGAACGGAGTAAGAAAAAAAGGGTGGAGCAGGACAAGAAATGAAAAAGGTTTTAGTGACTGGTCTGTAGCGCTCCGGGGTTGTCCGTAAAAGTTTCCCCTTTTTGTTTTTTAACTGGTTGGGACAGACAGCCTGAAGCTTGGTGTATATTTACGCGTTGATTTACTCGTAAAGTTGTCTTTCTCCTTCGACTCCTCCGCCGGCTACCACCACGGCCACCCGAGTATGGACATGTATCCCAGGCTGATTCAGGGTCACAGCGAACATCCTCAAGAGATTCTCAATAGTCTCACTCAAAGAGGACCAGTAGGAGACCCATGCCTCGTGTTGACTTCCGACCCCAAGCCTCGCCTCCGCTGGACCACCGACCTCCACGATCGATTCGTCGATGCCGTCACTCAGCTTGGCGGTCCTAACAGTCGGTTTCCTTTCACCCACTTTCCTTATTACCCATCATTCTCTGTTTATTTTGCTTTCTGGGTTTCTCGTGTTGATCCTCTTTTGATGTGTTTTAACTCATCTCGATTCAAGTCCTAGACTTTATCTGCAATCGTTGCCCTTTTATGTTTGAATCCAGGGATTAGTTTCTCCTTGACAGTCTATTGCAGTCTTGAAATCATTTCTGTCTAGCATTTAGCCTACTGGGTTAATAGAGTGTTAATTAGTTAAGAATCTAACTTGTATCTTGCCGTCATTAATGAATGGGGAGCTTGAAAGCAGGGTCAGTGATCAGGATAGTGTTACACATGACAAAAAGAATACCCTGTTTGCCTTTGGCATCTGTATTTCACCTGGCACTGAAAAGCAAGGTTTTAATTGGTTAGGTGATCTCTAGGTAACCGCAAGAAGCTTGGATTTTGTTTCTCTGTGTCATAGAAGGTTTTCCATTTTCCCCTTTATTTCAAAGAATTGAATGTGTGATAGTGTGATATTTGAGGCTGCTGACTGGAGATCTTCACCTTCAATTAGTCACAGGTCTATAAATATGGGGACGTAGGTGGTGCCTTTTATGGGTCTGGTAAATTGATTTATGGTGTAAAAGAATTGTGTCACTACCCGTGAAATTTATAGTTCCTGTACTAGACAGTAGAGAAATGATTATCTCATTAGATATGTGGTGAGGGTTTGTTTATAAGCCCACATTCGTTGCTAGTAGTGGCAGTCTGTTTACAATTTAGGCTCTTTTCAGGGATTTCTTCCTTAACTTACATGCTAACTTTGGTATGCTGCAAAATAAATTTTGTTTCTATGAAGAACAACTGTGTGTAGGGACACAGTGAGTCTTAAAATTATCCATCATAGTTGTATTTCCTTAAGAGGGCATTTGCATTACTGAAGATAAGGAAGGGATTGAAATTCCATGACTTGTCTCCATTCTCCACCAAATAAGTTGAATAACCAGTTAGGAGTTTGGTTGGCAACAACTGTCTTTGTTTTCCATATATTCTAGTTTAATATATTGTGTTTCGATGACAGATGTTAAAAATATTGCCTCCAGTTATATAATTACAGTATGTAAACTGAAATGTTCCCCTGTGCAAAATTGACGACCTTGGTATAGGAGCTAGGCCCTCTGTGGCTCTTGTACATGGTGAACTAATGATAGCTGCTTCTGTGTCTAATGTTGTTTTTGTAGTAGTTTGCATGCTACTTCATTGGTTTGTCATATTGTTTCTAGCTAGTACTCTCTTGCAACTATTGTGGCTTTCTAATAATTATGGCATTCAAGAGATAAATATCTCACCTTTTCTTTTGGGAAAATGGAGAAGAAAAATATTGAGTTTATGGTACATTTTGCATTGTCTTCTATGTTGGGTCTTTACTTTAGTGAAGCTTTTCTAGAAGGAGAATGACGAGCTTATCCTTTTGAAAGATACTGCAAAGTTAAAATATTAGGGAATTAGGTTCTTTTCTAAGTGTTGCCTGATATGTAGTGTGGAATCTTTTGAGTTTTTGGACCCTAATACTAAAGATATTCTGTTGATTCTGTATCTCAATGGCAGAAGCTACACCAAAGGCCATCATGAGGACAATGAATGTGAAAGGACTAACACTTTTCCATTTAAAGAGTCACCTCCAGGTTTCATCATTCTTGATATATCTATGTCTAGTTTTAACCTTGCAGCTTATCATGGAAGTAAATATTTTATGAACATAAATGTATTAATATCGATGCTACACGGTGTTTTACAGAAATACCGACTGGGCAAACAATCAGGGAAGGATATGGGAGAGGGACCAAAAGATGGTAGGTTTAGTAGTAACTCTATGTTTCTGCCATTTCAAATTGCATACATTTAAATTTATACTCTGAATAGATGTCTTTTTTGGGAAATATTATAGCAAATAGTATGAGAAGATTTTCAAAAATCAAACTGATCTTTCTTTTGCCTTGCATGGAATGTATGTCAGCTTCATATCTTTTAGATAGCCCTGGAACCAATAATTCTCCTCCAAACTTGTTGACTCCTGACATGACTGAGTAAGAACTTTAATATTCCATTTCAAAATTCTAGTGGTGCTTTTTTAAGTGTATTTTTGATAGATTCAAATGCTTAGACTTGATTTATGTGAGGTAATGGATGCTATATTTAGGGGTTATGAGGTCAAGGAGGCGTTAAGGGCACAGATGGAAGTTCAGAGTAAATTACACCTGCAAGTTGAGGTAAATTTTCACCGAAGCATTTTTTAACTTTTGTAAATGTCACAACAGAAGAGCGGAGAAGAAAAGTGTGTGTTGTTCAAAGTGTTTCTGTATATTTTGCAATACATTTTCTGACAGTTGAGTAACTAATTAATGGTGTGAAAGCCCAACTTAACATTCTGCGAAGAGCTCTCTGGAGAAGAGGCTTGAGTACTATCTAAGCTGTCCTGTATTTATGCAGGCCGAGAAGCACTTGCTGATTCGGCAGGATGCTGAACGGAGATACATGGCCATGCTTGAGAGAGCTTGTAAGATGCTTGCTGAGCAATTTATCGGAGGTGGTGTAGTATTGGAAACAGGCAACGAAAAATGCATAGGACTAGATGATAAGATGCAAAGAAGTTTTTCTGTTGATCCGCTTGGCTTTTACTCTTTGCAGTTGCAGTCTGGTGGGGTGGAGCAAGAAGGTCCACTTGGACTTCATTCCCAGATGACTGATTGTTCTACCGAAAGCTGCCTAACTTCACATGAGAGTCCCGTGAGATTATGCATGGAAGGATCTCCAGTGGAAGGGAATAAAAGAATACTGAACTTGGACTCCGCAACAGCATCATTGATGTGGGGTGACCCCCATAGAATTACGGGATATGGCATGTAGAAATGGAGATGAATGTATTTTCTTTCTTATGATGGGTAATTTGTGTCGTGTATTGGATATAATCTTGGAAGTTGGCAGGGATGGAAAGTGAAACATGAAACAAGTAACGTCCGAAGAAAGTGTAAATCGAAGTAGGTTAATGTTCTAGACATTTTGGGGTCAATTGTGATGTATCTTGTCCTGTCCTATGTTGATTTTAGATTCATTTCATCTGATGATGTCCTGAATCATTTTCATGCATGTTTTGGTTTTGGACAGGGATTGACTAATTAAACTCCCTCTATATATAATTATTACGAGTCAAAATTCACCTTCACACGTAAAACTTAGCGTATGAATTATCATTGCTTGACTTTCAAAAATCAGATTAGAAAAATGGTTAATAATGTATGGAAGACTTACGAGGTAATATATGATTAGATTGTGCTGGTGACAGGTTGGCTTGTATAAATTCAATCAAATAAATATGTAAACATGTATTAAAGAATCAACAATTTATTGGTTTGAATGGAAAGAATTCAATTTTTTTTTTTAAATAAAATCTTGAATTTGAGTCTTGTGAATAAAAAAATAAACGTTGGAAGGATTTCTCCAAATGAGATCCGATGTGGTTCGATTCTGTATTAATCTGGATCCAATGTGGTTATCATATTTCAAAAAATTAGTATAAAAAAAATATTAAAGAATTTTTTATTTCAAAAATGATAAAATTTTTAAAAAAATGGAGGTAACGTGATTCCTTGGCTAACTTCCCCACACCCTTACACTAATTATTTCTTATACTATTTTAGGAGTACATTTCTCTTAAAGAAATTATTTTCTTTTAAATATTAATATAAATATTTAAATTTTAAATTAAAAATATATATTAATCATAATT